TTGCATGTGGAATCACAAGCATTTGATGGTACCCGGACGCAAGGTCGATCTTTGTAAGGACCACGCATCCAAACATCTTGCTGAACAGGTCCTCGATGTTGGGTAGTGGGATCTTGGGGATTTCCGACTGAGAGTTGACATGCCTGTAGTCAAGAACCCAACGGATTGGCGTGTTTGCCGTTGCCGTCTTCAACCACATTTGACGTGACGGCATCTTCCCGTTCTCATCCTTTTTGGGGACACCAAAGATGTTGGAAACCCAATCACTCGTGGACAACTCAACCCATCCTTTAGCCTTCAGCTTATCTACGAACTTGTCCAGTGACTCCTGTTCGACCTTTGCGAGTCGAAATGGTGCGCAATTCTGAGGCTTTGCGTCCGGCTTCAACTTCAAATCGAACTGCACCCCACGTTCCGGTGGCAACCCATCCGGGAGCTCCTTCGGAAAGACGTCTTTGAACTCGTCGAGTACAGCTTTGATCTCAGCTGGGTACTCTTGAGGTTGCGCTTGGACATGGCAAAGCTTCATGATCCATCCTGGTGGTTGTTCCACAGCCGACGCATTGGCATCCACTACCTCGTCAACCGACATGATGTCGTGCTTGCGCCAATCGATGACTGGATTGTGCTTCTTGAACCATGGTTGGCCCAGGATGACGTCAAACGCTTTGTCCTTCAAGTCCCATTCCGTGAGCTGCGTGTCATGAAACGTGAACGTGTCAATTTGCACCGTTTCCTTCAACTCGCGCGTCTCTGTCAGTGGTGACATCAGTCCGTCGTAGCCTGAGATGCGAACAGCCTTGGAGCGAATGACATGTTTGCCCAACCCGACTCGACAAAGCGAATTCGTTGCTCCCGAGTCAATAAGAATGTTCACGACTTTTCCATTTATTATGCCAGACTTAATCATTAATGGCGCTCTGCCACTCTCCTGACTTCGTCCGACTTGCGCTTTCGACACCGCAACGCCTTCAGCACCGTTTTCTTCCATGGCGCCAAACGTGATGTACTCCACATCTTGGTCGCTTGGTGCTTCTTCGACTTCTAGGTTGTTTTGCTTGCCTGGAGGTCCATCACCCGAGATCTTCTTCTTCGGCTTTTGGCACGCAGCCGCAAAGTGCCCAAAACCTTGGCAATTGAAGCAGCGCAACTTGCTGCGGTCCTTCTTCCGGGCTTTGCGAACGTTGATGTTGTCGACCTCCATGTCCGCCGACTCGTTCGACTCTGA